ACTTGGACCCGACGGGTATTGTCTCAAGGTACTTGGACCCGACGGGTATTGTCTCAAGAAACTTGGACCCGACGGGTATTGTCTCAAGATACTTGGACCCGACGGGTATTGTGTCAAGATACTTGGACCCGACAGGTATTGTCTCAAGAAACTTTGACCCGACGGGTATTGTCTCAAGATACTTGGACCCGGCGGGTATTGTCTCAAGAAACTTGGACCCTACGGGTATTGTCTCAAGATACTTGGACCCGACGGGTATTGTCTCAAGATACTTGGACCCGACGGGTATTGTCTCAAGAAACTTGAACCCGGATTGGGTGTAAAAATACTGCACCTTTCGCAGCTGCAATAAAAGTTGGACTTTTTATAAAATAATCTGGGATTTGGGATGTATATATATATATAAATCTATACATCAATATATATTCTTTTGGAATTGCAATTAACCCGAAAAGCTTTTGCATGGCCCTATTCGTCAGACACATCAGAATGCTATATCCGTCTTTGAATTTTTTAGCTACCACCACATTTAAGCAGCTGGTCGAGTTTTAGATAAAGCTTTTTTTATGATGATTCAAGTCTTCGAGTGAGGACTTAATTCATAGATAAGTTCTGCTTCAAAAGCTGATGGGGGACCATTTTGGCCTTAGAAGCATCGCATGTGAGTCAACGCGACAAGACAGGAGAGATAACACTAAACATAACACTGGCATTTGAACCTTGGAGCATGAGTGACGTTGAAGTTGTTTTTTTTTTTTTGTCCGGTGTCGTTCCGAGATAATGTTCAAATAGCCAGGCTGAATTAACATGTTAGTCAACCATGCCGTAAAAACTAAACCGCCCCTAAAAACAAAGTTTTCCGTATCAATCCCTTATTAAATTGTAATTTCGAGGAATGTGGGGGAGGAGCTAAAAGTTTAACTAAACATTCTTACAAGAAACACTCTTTAAAAGAATCCCGATTAGTGCCCCCACCCCCTAACCCCCCAACCATAGGCTCTCAACTGCACATTTTTTGTCACGCCCCTGAAATATATTATTATTCTAATCCCTTGCCCATTTTACAACGCGGAATTTATTTCATCAAATATTTCAGGGGGAAAAAAAAGGAAAACTCTACGCACCAAACGCAGAATATTTTCTTCTTTTTTTTTTTTTTTTTTTTTTAATAATTTTCTTTATCCGGGAATTTTTTTAAATAATCTCATTTATCGGGAAATTTATTTTGTGAAATCAGCGACATTTATATTTCATCAATTTTCTCCTTGAAAAACAGGGAAAAGTGATTTTTGCGAGTTGGAGTTATCGGGTCGGGCTGAAAATCT